GGAAGATGAGAACTGGCGACTTTCTAGTACAACTTTAGTACGCGGAGTATCTGGTATGCGGAGCAATCTGTGGAGCTGGAAGCTGAGAACGGGTGACTTTGTACAACTTTACTACGCGGCTGAGTCATCTCTATTTTGTATTTTGCAGAATGCATGAACAACGTTGTTTTCCTGCGAGACAGTTGACGGTGGTTGCTTTGCTTTCGCTCCATTGGTCGGGTCCAACTTGTTTTGTCAAAGAACATCGCAGCTCGGCGAATCAGCCTGCTACATGCCCATTTCCTATAGTTTTTTTGTTGGAAACTTCCGCCGCCGGCTTGCCCGGGAACTACTTGTATGTTAATTACTATTGTCATCTATTGTCTGAATTCTTCGCACAATCTTGTATATAAGATAAGTACGCACCTCGTAAATGTATCCGGGATAAGGACTTTGGATGAGTCATATGGAATATAATATGAATGAATATGATGCCATTGACAAGATTCTCACATGCCACTTTGGGCATGAAGGCCGAGATGGTGAAGAAGGGGTTGAGGCTGGCAAGGTGGCGGAGGCCTGCATTGTCAGCACCGGCAAAGGATCTCTCTCACAAATGGTGGACCCCTGGACCTCTTGCCAAGAAAGGGTTTGATCGATTTACTGTAGATTTGGAGCTGCTTTTCAGCTGAACTTCTGTGCCAAACACATTACAGTCCAAGTCCAACTATTCCTGCAGTAGTTTATCTTCCAGTCAAGGCGAGCAATGCAGCCAGTGAAACCCGACCCAAGGAAGGGTTGCTTGGCAGCAAACTATACTAGTACTGAGCAGGCACCCGGGCTTCGACCGATTGTCTCTCTGAAAGCAAATTTTTGCAATAATCATTTTGTCACTGATGACAAAAGGCATCAAAAGACAAGTGTCCTCGCCTCCTCCACCCGCAAACCTTCCCAAGGCAGCATCTCAGGAACCTCTCAGACAAAAGCCGTTCAGCATTTCAAGACATGTGAAGCATGCTTTCAAAAGCGTTTCCAGCACGTCTGGAACACATCGTACTACAGAATCCTGCCTCACTTTGTTCCTCGCAAGTTGATGCTGAATGCTTTGGCTGGCGGGCCTTGGCAGCCTCTGCAGCCTTCGGCCTTTGTAGCTCTGGTTCAATCAATCGCGACACTCGCTCATGCTCAGCAAGACGCATCTCCTCCCACAGTTGGTCCTGCGTAGAAATGGAAACCAGAAGCAACTAGAATGACATTTGGACGACAATGCAAATGACTTGTATCAAATCACTGAGGTGCGCCTCTGCCTCATCACCAGCTGCCTACAAGATTCAATCCCGACAGTCCAATGTCCAACTCACCTGTTATTTACATTCCTCATTCCTCCACAAAATTCAACATAGCCTTCTCAATGCCACAGCATTGGTTCATTACCACTTCATCTCAGGGTGCAGTTGACGAAGTCGAACCTTTCTGGTGCAAACAGTTCTCTTATCCCACAAGTGTCCTGTGGGGCTACAGAGGCCGTGGAGTGGCGAATCTCTTTGGAGTCCGCTCAACATGCCCTGTTTCAACGCCACCAAAGCTGCTTTTGGAAACTTATGTTGGCGCATCGCCAAGGAAGCAACAAGACAATCATAAATGTCTATGTATTCAATACACATCCATGTATCGTGTATGTAATATATGTGAATATATATATATACACTAATTATTTATATACATGGACTCCTGGACGCACGAAGGATCCTTGTATATTCAGTTCGACGGCAAAGTTGTTGCACAGCTTTGGCAAGGAATGCATCTCAATGGTGCCCATTGAGAATGTTGGCAGCAGCAGGGGACGCTACATCTTGCAAATCTCCCTCAAGCTGCATGTCGCAAAGCAGCACATCCCTGAAGTTCTCCAGAGACCTGAATTCCATGAACACTTTCATTGAGCAAAATTGTTTGCTTCATAGACTGTAACATCGAACTTTGCACTCCAGTAACTCCGACATACCTCATCTTCTGTGATAGGTTGGAGTTGCCACACGGTCAAGGTCAAACTGGGCACATCCACCCAGCTTAGCTTCGGACATGCCCTTGGCATTCCCCCACATGGTTACCCAGTTGGTAGCCACATGTCTTGCATTATCTTCGCTGATGTGCTTGACCAAGTCCTGAAAGACTCAACAGCACCAAGCAAAGAGATGCAAAGATGCAGCTGAACTGCTTTGCTCTTGGAAACCTTGCTTTTGCTTTTTACGACAAAGAATTGGCCTACATTTTCCCTGTCCAGCCGCGAACGCAATTGCGCAGGTCAAATTGTACCGTTTGTATATGCTCCTTCACACTCAAGACGCTGTCACCATCCACGTCGAGGTAGCGAAAGGCCAATTCGCAAATTGCTGGAAAGCGACCTTCTTTCATCCAAGCCTCGATCAACGAGGCAATGTAGAAGCTACTAGGAACAAGGGCATCGCTACTAGGAACAAAGGGCATCGCTACTAGGACCAAGGACGCTACTAGGGGCGCTCCTGGCCTTACTACTAACTACTATGGCCTATTCTTAAATATTGACTCCCCCAGTTTCCCTGGCAAAACAAAACTAGCCATTTTCGATCTGTTCACGGTTAGTGGGAAACCAATCCCTCAAAAAAGGTTAAAGGTTACAGTATCACATAGTATCACTATGTATCACTGACTGGGTAGGATATTCTAAAGACATGTGTGGTGATGTGTGGTGTGCGGTCGTTCTGTTCATGTGGTACCAGCGAAGCCACATCTCTGCTGCATTGGAAGAGCAATCTCTCCAGCTGGTTTTGGACAAAACAATTCCAAACTTGTCAACACATGAATTGTTTGCCCAGAAAATAGCATCTCAAGCATGGTTGTCATTGTGAATACGATGTTGTTCCAACTCGCATGTAGACTGTAGCGGTTTTGACATGTCTTATGTTTTTCCTGGCTGCTTGTGCTCTTGCCGCATGTTGACCTGTCACCAATACGTGAATGAACTCTATATTAAGGTCTATATTAAAGTCTATATTAGCCACACATTCATGTGTGCTCTTTCACCACAAGATTGCAAGGGCAATGTTGCAGCACCTTGCAAACATTCCCAGCACAAGCCCTTCGCACGTTAACATAACGATGATGATGACTTCAGTTTGATCCGATATAATTGAATCCACAAATTATTGGGAAGGTAAGGGATAGCCCAACTTATTCTATCTACGGGGAGGTAGTAGAAGTGGTATGCTAAATCCCTAACGGCACGATCGACCGGAACGAGTACCCGACGGTTGGTGGGACGAGTACCCGTGGTGGGTGGTGCCGAATGCCGAGCGAACGGCGGAGCAACGAAAGTGCGAAAACAACGAAGGGCGCGGAGGCACGAATGCGACGAAGGTGTCCCCAGCCACAGGCCAGGAGAACACGGCGCCCTGCAAGGAAAAGCCGCGGATGCGTCTTTTTCCTTGAGCCAATATGTCACGTGTGGCATACACTTTGTGCATGACTGTGTGAGACGTGACTGAATGAAATATTTGTACATGTGGAGTATTGTTACATGTTAGGGGTCCATAGAAAAATGACTCCCCCCTTCCCGTTGTGGGGCAGTACTCTTATGTACATGCACGAATTACCGCGCCGGGCGGCAGCGGTTACGACGACCTACGAAGGCTTCGAACTGCTTGGAAGGCTCCTATCTGTCTTAGATGGGGTCAAGTGTTTGAGATCGGTACGCATGCCGAGCAAGCACAGTGCTTTGAACCACTTCTGGGGTGGTAGTGCTTTGGTAAAAATGTCGGCAGCTTGTTCATTTGTATCGATGTACTTGATCTCGACAGATGGGTCGTCGATGCACTCTTTTAACGAACTTAAATTGATCTTGTGTGTCCGGCTGATGTGTCTTAACTTGGGAGAAAATCCTTTCTTTACTACTAGAATCGTGGCTTGGTTATCTTCTTGTATTACGAGGTTAACGGCTCGTCCGAGAAGTTTGTCCCACAGTTGCAGTGAAGGTAGGCCTTCTTGGTACAACGAGTAGGCTAGACTTACCACTTCCGATTCTGTAGTAGACCTTGACGCTGATGTCTGGCGCTTAGACACCCACGCTAGTGTAAAATGGGTGTTAGGACCTTTAAGTACCAGATATCCACCGGAGGTGGATTTAACCTCATGCTGATCGCCGCCGAAGTCGGCATCCACAAATAAGTCAAGCCACAGCTCACTGGGATCATCCCCGCATACCGCGGTTAATCTATAATCTAGTGAGTGTTGGATGTACTGGATTAACCGCAGTAGCTTTTCATCATGTACGCGGGTCCATTTTTGTACTTTGGTGGCAAGGTCGTTAATTGGTTTAAGGATGTCGGGTCGTGCCAGCCTAGCAAGCCACAGGGCCTTCATTAGGATGGAGCACGCCTTCGGGGCGAGTTCTCCGGGAGACCCTTCATCAGCTTGTGTGAACGTACCATCAACGAGGAAGGGCGTTTGGGCCGATTTTATTTTGTCAACACCAGCCACCGATTTATAAAGATCGATGGTTTGCTGCGCGTAGTCTTGCATATCGAAGATTAGCGCGTCAGCACTGCCGCGCAAAGCAGCGGTCTCGGTGTATCCCGAGTCCGGCACTTCGGAGTAAACATGGTTGCGTCCTAAAATCCTATAAATGGGCTCAGGCGGCTCGACATTAACTACGTTAGTAATCTCAGACCAAAACTTATCATGTTGGTCACGGGGACCGGACAAAGTAAGGTCATCTACATACGTAGAAAGCATGAGCCGTGAGTTTGGGAACCAGAAGTTACCAGGAAACTCTGGAATCTCTTCCCCTCCCATTTTGTACAGGATGTCCTTGAGGTGTTGTTCCCACATCCCCCCTGCGTCGGGGTGACCATATAGGGCCTTAACCAAAAGGACTACTGGCTGGACGAACTTGTTTTTCCACCAGGCGGGGCGGAGCTCGGGTGGCAGCTCAATCCATGTTTTGTATTTGGATTTGAGCGTCGCCTGGACGTATGCCTTAACTGCGTCGGCCGCAGTGCACAAGTTGCCGGGAAGGCTCCCATATGCAAGGCATGCATTAAGGCCCTGGACGGAGGTGGGATTGGCTCCCAGCTCTTGGTATACCGCAGCTGCGCCATGTTCGTCTTTTGCGCAGTCACCGCGGTACACGATGCGGCCCTTCTTCTTTTGTAATTCTTTTGCTAACTCGAAAAACTTTGTTGATGCAATTGTCATTAGCTTACCGAAGTGGACGCAAATGCCAGTGGCTTTTGCCTCGGCACGGACATCTTCTTTCTCCCGGACAGACTCGTATTCCCACGTGCCTTCCTTGACGACGCCGGCCGCTTCATCCTTAACCTTTTGCAAGGCTTCAGGATCACTTAGCATCTCTGACCTGCTAAGGAGCTTAGTGACCATCGCGGCAACTTCCCGCTCACCTTGTTCAGTGTGCGGTATCTGGTATGCCTCGTGCATCAACGCATTAATATCCATGAGGCACTCGATCATCTGATCAACTGTCTCATCAGCCTCGACTGCGATAGCCATGGCATCTATGCCAGATAGGGCGGAAACATGTTTCAACGCCTGCTCCTTATACCGATGTTCAAAATCATGATGACGTGAAACACATGGCATGGCGGGGGCGACTGGGTTGTGAAACATGTTTGGGTATAACGCCCTTGCTATTTCAACGGTCATCTGTCTTGGATAAAATGCTGTTCGAGCAGTCTGTGACCCGACTGCGTGGTCATGTTCATGGGGTTTATGTGGGCATTGGAAGCTCGAAAACAACTCTACGATAGCCTTGCTGGTGGTCATTAGGCGCCATCTTTTCTTAATTGGTCGGCCTCCAGTGGACTTAACACCAACAGCGCACCCATCAAACTCTACTGACATGAATTCAGGGTGGTTATCGAAGAATTGCTTAACGTCTGAGCGTTGCCAACTCTCACATCCCTTTGGCCATTCGATCGTGACCGTCCCATTGCGTGCGAGCACAAGTTCTGCATTTGTGGTGAACTCAGCAAACAGGCGCTTAGATTCCTTTACTTGGAGAGCATGTCTCTTAATGAACTGAGCCCCCCCTTTTAGGCGGTTCACTCTTTGCCATGGAGATCCCGAAGTGCAGGGGATTGAAGCCCAGAGATCGGGGGTCTCGGCGCAGTTGCTAATGTGGTGGTGCAGTTGCGCCTGCATTTGTGAATCGTCTAGGTCGAGGTGTTCTTTAGACAATGCAATATGGGGAATGCCCATCTCCAAGAAGGTCTCGTGCGTTTGCGAGTCTGACGCGCATGCAAATTCGAACATGCATCGGGTCGGCCGCG